GCCCGGGGAGCAGTTGGGGGTTCGGTGCCTTGCTCAAGGGCACCTCAGTCGTGGTATTGAAGGTGGGAGAGAGCGCTGTACATTCACTCCCCCCACCTACAATCCCTGCCGGTACAAGACTCGAACCCACAACCTTTGGGTTACGAGTCCGACTCCCTAACCATTAGGCCACGACTTCCCCATATGTGTGGTGTATGGAGTGTAGATTGATGTGGAAAAAAAGTAATTTAAAGAAGTTTATCATAAGGCAGCAACATAACAAAATGTTAAAAAAAATAATAATAATGCAAATGAATGCAAGGCACTGTATAAGGTAAAGATCCAGTGCTCTTTTTGCTTTCTGTATTATAAAATATCCTGTTACTATTTCAGAACTGTCTGAATGAAGCAAACCGAATTGCAAACATTTTTAGGCCTATTTTGGTTTGTGCCAACCAATTTGACTTATAAGATCAAAAGAGATCCATTTACAAATCAGTATGGTAGTCCTATTGCCACACACAAATCTATCAGTAATATCTTACTGGGGCACAGCGGTATTTCACTAAGGCTCGTGCCCCAGAAAAAAAGGGTCTATAGTGGCACCCCAGTTAAGGACTCAAATACAGGACGATCAACCGTATTTTGTCGCTGTGTGAATGTGGTATTATAACCACAGAAAACCCTGGTATGATGGAGAATTTTTCACAGCAAGCATCATTCACAATTTATTTAGAAAGAGTTCAAATCGAGTATTGTACATTAAATTGGTGGATATTGAGTGCTGCATCAGTCTGAGAATTCAGATGGGAATGAGCTGATGGAGAAGCTAAGTAATGCAGGGAGTCCCATCACGGTCATTTCCTGTAATGAGGAGGAGCAGAGCAAGTCCATGTGCTGCTGGGATGGGTGTTTATGTAAAATAGCTTTGATTTACTCATGCACCCTCCTGTCATTTTAAACCTGTATGACTGATATTCTTGTTAGAATGAGATATTTAATACTGTTCACATCAAGGACAATGACTAAAATGCTAACTATAATTACTATATTAGAATCCACATTAACAAATGATAACGTTGTTTTTTCATAAGCTTGTGCTGCAGTTATGTCGTCTGCTGCTTTAAATGCCCAAACTCTTTAAAGTGGATTCTGATTGCCTGTTGATGTTTTTATCTTTCATCAGCTGAAAGAAAAAAAAAGTGATACCAATGAAATTGTATCCCTGTGCCGTTATCATTATAGTTGTGGTGTGGACTATTCTATGAAATGTTTTTCAAGACTTTATCTTAATTGTTATCATCCTTTGTGTGGATGGGCCTTAAAAGGATAGTTCACCCAAAAATGAAAATTCACTGTTAATTTCATTTCACTTCACTAGCCTATATTGTCAGGAGACTCTGGTATTAATTTCATCTTGCCTGTGTGTATATATATATATATATATATATAAAGTAAAACACTTTATTTTATTATTATTATTTTTGTATCTGTGTTTTTGTTCTGTCACTGTCATTCTGTTACACTGTGGAAGCTTCTGTCACGAAAACAAATTCCTCGTATGTGTAAACATACCTGGCAATAAAGCTCATTCTGATTCTGATTATATATATATATATATATATTTTTTTTTTTTTTACTCATCTCAAATGCATTAATTATATATATATATATATATATATTTATATATATATATAAAGAGTAGTAATGACATGCTACAAAATATCAAATTTTCATGGAAGAAAAAAAATCCTAAAGGTTTAGAACAACATGAGAGTAAATGATTTAATCCCATTGTCATATTAATTGGAATATCCATGATTTTTTAATCGCATTTCACACTTAAAAATTTACAAAGGAACAACAAACAAACGTGAAGCATCCATCTGCTTTACATAATTTATTATTTCATTATTTTTGTAATTTTCCAAGTACTTTTCAAACCCCTCGCTCCTACATCTATAACAATAAACTAGAGTATGTTTCAGATAATGCCCTTTTCATTGATGGCCTTTCATAGATGGAGTAATGTCATGCTCGCTACAGTCTGGTTCACTGCCATGATGCCAACATAGGGGGTTCTGAGTGGGAAAGTCCATTAGAAGTTTCCTGGAATTGGCCTAACAACTGTGGTTTCCCTCAACATCTTCTATCTGTTTCTCTATTTAACAACACTCGCAGGAAAATGATCAGAGACAACTCTCCACTGCAGCACTGACGTTAAACCTCGTTTCAGCTCATTTAAACATTGCATGACTCTTTTTCTCATGCCTTTATTGGCTCTTCGGGTTGCATTGGCTCCATAAAACACATTTCTGTTGTTATTAAATCCTGCCAGCTTTCATGCTGTGCTCACAGGATATGTGAGCTGAGAAATCCTCTCTCTGTTTATATGTAAGTGAAGCTCACAAGCGTGCATTACTCCTCCTGCTGGACTAACTGGGCCTTTCTGCAAGAGAATAAGATAGACTAAGTGCTACAGATTTTCAAAACTTCATTTGAGCATGCCACGATCTGCCTAAACACATTCCCCATAGGTCAAAAGCTCGGTTCAAGTATAAGATAAGAAGGTAATAAAGAAGTTTGAAGGGGAAAGAATTCTGATAGATGACATTATGATCTCTAGACTGTGAATGATCTTAAACTTTATTTTGTTGCTATTTAGAGGAATTATACTGGAAAGCTAAAGAACCAATTATTTTCCAGTGATCCTGCTTCAGTGTGGAAAGGTCTGAAAGACATCACCAATTACAAGACACCATCCCCCAGCACTGTGGAGAATCAACAACTGGCAGACGATCTGAACGAGTTTTATTGCAGGTTTGAAAAAACACCATTCACACCTCCTGCAACCCCCCTCTCCCCCCCTCCAGCACTCCAGATCAGTGAAGATGACGTGCGTCAGGTCTTCAGAAAGAACAAGAAGTTTGCAGACGACACCACACTTATCGGCCTCATTCAGGACGGAGACGAGTCGGCTTACAGACAGGAGGTTAAAGAGCTGGCTGTCTGGTGCAGTCTTAACAACCTGGAGCTTAACACGCTCAACACTGTGGAGATGATCGTGGACTTCAGGAGAAATCCCTCTGCTCTCCCCCCACTCACCATCATGAACAGCACTGTAACGACAGTGGAGTCATTCAGGTTCCTGGGCACCACTATCTCTCAGGACCTGAAGTGGGACACTCACATTGACTCCATTGTCAAAAAGGCCCGCAGAGGTTGTACTTCCTTCGCCAGCAACATACCTGGCAATAAAGCTCATTCTGATTCTGATTTACGTCAAAAAGATTGAGAAAATTATATTTCATGAGAAAACCTAATTATTTTATGAATTGGTGATTTTGTACGATTTGAATAAAAAAATAAACCCCACCCCTAAACTTCACCCTCAGTGAGCAGATTGTACATATTCATACAAATTCATTATTTCCCAAAGCGTAAAATAGTTAGGATTGTCATAAATGTTACGATATAAATATTAGGACATCATTTTGAAAGTGTTTTGAGATTTATATTAAGATATTATAACTTTATTTTAATGATTATATATATATATATAATCATTAAAATAAAGTTATAATATCTTAATAATATAGCTATTATATATAATATAGTTATAATTTATTGAAATAATATATACATATATATAATTTCAATAAATTATAACTATATTATAGGCTATATATAACTAAACTATATATGGATATTTATTATCTTACACATTTTTTTACTAATGATTATTATATGATGGATATACATTGCACATCAAATATTATATTATTGAGACAATTTTGTGTAAGACAGTATTATTATCACTTTTTAGAGATATTTTAAAATATTTAAAATTTTAGAGATTTTATACAATATAATTCTTAAATTATTGCAATTATTATTATGCAAATTCTTATATTATTGCAAATATGCAATGAAAAATGATTGTCAGATGGCAACAATATTGCACATCAAATGTTACGTTAATGTTCACACATCCATTCTGATTAAAGTGGAGAGACGAAAGCAATATATTATGACATATTGTACAATGTTGCAATATAAAGTGTATATGCTTTGTGATATGGCCTCTGCATCAAACCCATTTACAGCATGGTCAAAGCTTTTATCGTTCTAACTATCCCCGGCTGACCACGCAGCCATTAGCGGAGGTTTAGATCATTTGTGAACAGGAAGAATACAAAAGTTTGCGGGTTTGGAAAATGGATGCTTGCTACAAATGTCTTTATGCGGTGGATGTCCTGTATCCATGTCAAAAATATGAACAACCTCAAAAGACCCATTGATTATGTCTGAAGCGCTACTAAAACTAAAAATAACATTAAAAGTTAACATTTTTCACAAGCAGTGGTTTCTTCGGCTTTAGGTAATATAGACACCAAATTACACAATGCCGCAGGAATAGCTTAAGAATAACCTCCATTTGAGGCAGATAATGACTAAATGTAAAGATGAAAGGAATACACTTATGTGCAGGATATCAATTACCAGACGTGCTTCCTCTGATCTCCGTTGCTCAGGAGGCTGGATGGCTGATAGACAGTACAGGATGCACAGTAGCTTTTTTTTTCAGTCTAACATTCATAAGTAAATATATACTTCCTGTCCTAATGGAACTCTTCCAAACAATCTGCAAAAAAAACACACTTAAACTATTGGGTAGGTTTGGTTTAATTTCTAACATGCAAAAATATGGCACCATATTAGCAAAAGACAAATGTGCACAATTCAAATATAATATTGTACATCTCTTTTTAGACATGCATGCCCTCTTTTGGTTGAATATAGCCCTTGTTCATCTCTTACGAGTTAAATACATGTATTCAATACAATATTTTTGCTACACCGAGGATGCGGCCCTTCTCACACTACATTCCTCCACCTTGCATCCTTGTGATGCTCCACACTTCCAGAAGAATATGAATCAAAATGACAAGGAATAAAAATATTTTTCGAAGAAGAAATGTAAAAAAATAAGTGTATTACCCAAACAAATCACCCTCGTGTCGTTCCAAACCTGTGTGATTTTTTTCTTGTCTGGGACACAAAAAAAGAGATATTTGAACCCATTTGACCTCATGCTATGGACAAAAAGAGACATTTTCTATATATCTTCTTTTGTGTTCTACAGAACAAAAGTAAGTCATACAGATCTGGAATGACATGATGGTGAGTAAATGATGCCAGAATGTTCATATTTGGGTGAATTAACTCTTTAAGCTATGATAGATTACACAAAATGCAACATATTTTACAATCATACAAAAAATGATACCAACTATGTGCTTTTGTATGCACCAGCATTATTAAAAGTTGAATAAGTCGCAAGAAAAATAAATAATAATAACAACAACAAATTCTCATTCTCAGAACAGAAGTCACATTCTTGTTATTGCAACAGGCGATTCATTAGCATAATATAATGCACTTGTACTGTAATATAGACAAATTTATAGATTTCACTTGGCATAGGAATGTTTTTTCTTTGAACAGTTGATTGTAATATTTCATGTAGATCATAATTTTAAAAAGACAAAAAAGTCATTTTGATTAAGTGCAAAATTAAGGCATCAGGAAGGAAAGCATCAAGATGGTTTAGAAACAATTATTCAAAAAAAAATGAATGAATGAAACTAATTTAACATTGTGCATGATATAAACTGATATTCTAGCTTTTTTTTTGTTTTGTTTTTTTTGAAGGTTTTCACATGGCATTCATCATCCATCTTCTTTGGTTTCAGCTCATTACCCGTTTACATCAATGCTCACAATTTTCTAGGATATCCAACTAATTATACTCTGGGAGAGAGAAAAGGAAATGAGAGAGACATTTAAGTGTATGATCTTATTTCAACTCAGTTGCAGACAACAAACAGCTTTTTTTTTTTTTAAATAATAGTTGTATTTTTAGAATTGTTTTTTATAAAAGTAGAATTAAAAATAGTGGTTGTATTTTTATAATACCGATTTCATATTTTCAAAGTTGAGTTGGGTGGGACATGTCCCCAATATCTACTCCCCTGTTTGTGTGTGTGTGTGTGTGTGTGTGTGTGTGTGTAGAGACAGAGAGATAGTTTACCTGTCATCAACAGATAAAGGACTATAGCCAGACCCACAACAATGGAAACGATACTAAGCAACAAAGCTAGACGCCCAAGTCTTCTGCCCCCATCATAATCTTTTGCTTGTATCATGGACCGAGACTGAAGAAGAACAGAAAGAAAATCATGGATAAGTAAGCCTTGTAAATACATATGGTGGCCCCATGAGTCACATGATTAACTATTAGGGGCCCCATGAGCCACCCTAAACAAAAACAAGAAGGGTTTCTTTTTACTTTGTTTTATCTGCTTTCTAAATGATCACTAAATGTGAACTCTAAAAGTAACTAAGCTTCATTCTAAAAGTAATAAAAAGTTTAACTCCAGTGACACTACTCACCATATTAGCGAAATAAAGCGCAAACAGGTTTATCGGAACGGCCGGGCAGAAGCAGGAGATCACGGCCACCCACATGAAGCTGCAGGGCTCGCGTTCTCCGGCCGTGGGCGACGACGAGCGGCTGAAACTGACCCGCGACGGAGAGTGGGGCTCCGAGGCAACGTTATCCATAGTCTGTTCATTCTGTTCCGCTTCGAGACACTTCACGAGGTGTGTATCAGAAGGCGAGTGGTTGAATTCTCTTTTCAGCTCTTTGTCTGAGATGTCAAGAAGTTTCTGAGTAGGCCGATCTCCAAAATCGGTGGACTGCAGCGCGGCTCTCTCGCGCAGGGCATCTGTCGCGTGAGGGGCGTCCGTGTTAATAGCCATCTCTTAAAGAAAATATCCCTTTGTGTAAGAACATCAAATATACACTCTTATGAAGTTAACTCGATCAGCATAAGATCTTTTATTTAATCCAATTGTTCGCAGAGCTGTTCGAGCGAGATATTCATACATCTATTGGACATCCATCCACTTCGTCAATATTTACCACTCACGTCTTACACTGGAGAGATGCGAATCTGGATACTTTGCGTAAATCAATCAGTTTGCATTGGGCACGACGTGATGGCGCCCTAACGGCGCATCTGATTGGTGGACTCACACGCGTTAATTGACGCAAGCGCACGCATTTTTTTATCTGTGGATCCAGACGCTTTAATTGATTCGTTTCTGTGCAGAGCAGATTCTAATCTCAGTCACGAATATATATGACTGCCCGTGAGATTATATGTTTTATACTGACCTGATTAATGTTTTTTCTAGCATGCTGTATTATATTAGTCATGTATTTCTGCAAAATGTAGTTCATGGTTATGAAAAATGAGTTTACTTAAAAAAAATTTTAAAAAAAAGGGTAAAAATGACCTGTAGGGAAGGTTCTGTAGCCTATATAGGTTATAGGTTCCCCTTAGGTTCTCACCAAAAAATAAATAAATAAATAAAACCTCACGGCAACGTTCTGGGAAGGTTAGTTTTAAGTTTGTGGTTACAAAAGCACTTACAGAGAACACCAGAGCTGGGTAGAATACTTAAAATTTGTAGTACGTTATGATTCCAAATTACATGACAAAATTGTAGTTAGTAATGTAATCCGTTACATTACACATTTTATATAATCAGGACTACTTTTTGATTACTTTTACTTTTGACTTAACTCATTCATCACATTGAATTTAATAGGATAATCTTGAACCATACTGTTGTAAAAATACAAAGAGAAGGAAAATATTCCATTCGTTGTTATTAACATCATGAAGTGAACATGTAATTAAACATTACATTACGTCAAGGTTTCCTAAACTGGGGTTTGTAAAGGAACTGCGAGGATTTGCGAGTTTAATAAAAAGCTTATATTTAAATAAATCATAAAAATGTCAAATTAAAATAAATTATTCTAAAATGACAATCAAAATAAAACACTTGCTTAAAAAAATGAAATATTTTGTATGCCTGCATGTCATGTGACCATTAACCAACAGAGAACTGTAAATATGCAAATGTGTTAATTATTAACATATTACCTTAAAATATAAGGGGGGATTTCAAATAAATAAATAAGTTGAAAGAGGTTCAGATTAAAAAAATACAAATACAAATGTTTGGGGATCCCTGCATTACATGTAAATAAGAAATAACCTGAATTTGTGCATTTTAATGGGTTAGTAACACAAAAGCCTTCTAAATACATAATTAACCCATTGAGTGATAATTCAAATAAACATGCAATGTTAAAATGTTGAGAAATGATTTATGTAAATCCAGTGGTCAAATGCTGTGTGGCCTCTCAATTTTGTGTGTAATTAAAGCCACCTGACTAGTGACTGGTCTTTATGTGAACGCCCACAAAACTGGAAGACTTTCTGACTGTATACAAGCGGTAGTCTATTTGAAAAAGGAACATTTAAAAGATGAAAAAGAAGAATTAGGGAGAATCAAATTATGAATAATTTGTGTGAATAATATAATAATAAATATAAATTATATTTATTATTGGGGGCTCTGATAAGCCTCATGTCCAACCGACCATTGACGCCCTCTATCGGTCATATTTTATATAACACTTAAACCAGAGCTAGATAACAATAGTTTAGGCCTATAAAAATTGTAATTAATACATCGCAAGCATTTTAAAGGGGTCATATGATGCGATTTCAAGTTTTCTTTTCTCTTTGGTGTGTTACAAGCTGTTCGTGAATAGATAAGATCCCTAAAGTTGAAAAGACTAAAGTCTCAAAACCAAAGAGATATTCTATTTAAAAGTTTAGACTCGTCCACGCTCCCACGTCTATGTCACTGTGTGGGAAGATTTGCATAACGCCACCCAAATGTTCATGCAAAGAAAGAAGGCGTAACTTTTATTCTCGCTGTAGTATTGTTTCCGTCGCCGCCATGTCGTGGAGATGCTGTGTTTCGCTGTGAAAGCCTTCCAAAAGAGCACACGACTAGAAATCAGTGGTTAAATTGTATTTACAACACTGTTCCAGAACATTACTTATGCTGCTGCTTAAACCACAGATCATTTATATGTTGTATAAATGCTGCATCCTCATCTGAAGTAGCTTCAAAATTTTGAGCTACTGTATCAAGAGACAAGATGCAGACCACATGAACCATGGTGACACTAGAGATTTGTCCATTACTGGACACATTCATGTTTCCTCTTAGTTTTATGCCTGGGCAACAGCTGTTGCAAAGGCTAAAATGTACAGAAAAATATTTTCAATGACCTCTGCCATGCAAAATATACTACATACATTGAATATACATGATTATAAAACAATTTATTAGTTAGTTTGATATTAATTTTGATATTACAAAACAAAAGACCATGGATTTAAATGAATATCTTTATGTTCATTTAGAACCCTCTCAAATACCTAATCAAATTTCAAGAAAAAAACAACTGAAAGTTCAAACATGTTTAAGAACTTCATAATCTGATTACGTTTTAAAAATAATTACTTAAGAAAATTCAAGGCAAAAATTAAATTTTATTTTTTTGACATTTTCCAAAGAAATATTTTCTCTATTTAAGATATTTTTTTTTCCAAAATAAAAAAAGTGAATTTTAAAATATCATCAAAGATCTACGACAGAGATTGTCCAGAATGAATAAGATCCACAGCACTCTCAGATGAAAATGGTGCATGCTGGGTAGAGCTGACCACAACAGTTCTTCAGCTGGCAGCTTTAGCGTCAGGACAGGGTCATAAAGTTTGCCAGAGAAGAACTGCGGTAGGTCAGCCAATATTCACTCATCAGCAGCCACTATAAACCTAGAAGATAAAAACAAGACAGAAGATTATTTTTCAAAAATAACGCAAGTTATGTTCTACTACCACAAGTTTGTTCTCCCTGTAATTACAAAACCATTATCGATACTGCCATAAGGGGGTCTGAATACTTTCCGTACCCACTGTATGTAAGAATAATGTTTTGCACATAAGTGGCTGCATGTTTGCAAATAATTCTTACCTAAAATATCACTTAAATTTAACAATTTGTCAATCATGATGATTGAGTTTCACATATGAGGCCCAAGAATGCCCATCATTCCTCAGATCCCCAACAAGACATGCTTGCAGAACATTCCTGCTCACAAGCGTGTTTTGTCTCTAAAGAGTCTATATTTTCCATCGCACAGAATCATGCTAACTATGACACAGACTCAGGTTGTTCGCACTTTCCGTCTTGCTTCCCTCCCTGTGCTGCGTTTGGTAATCATCTACCATTCTTTCTCAGTACTCCGTGTCCCTCGTTCATTCCACCCTCCCCCATCCAGCAAGACACGCAGACATGAATCAGCAGGCATTGGGAGTGGAGGCCAGAGGACAAGGTAAGGCCTTGAGAGCACACTTCAGACATAATGTCATCTATGATACATAGAACAATCACAAACACGATAAACAGTTAGAATATAATGCGTGACTCAAATGTTTCATTCTCACATGGGAAACTTAAATGGATAATTCACAATTCATAAAAAAATAAAAAATTACAGTTCTGTCATGTACTCACCCCATTTTTTTGAAACCTGTATAATTTTTTTTCATGTGTGGAACACAAAACAAGATATTTAGAAGAACGTCCAAGCTTTACTTTTCCATATAATTAAAGTTAATGGTGACCATGACTGTCAAGCAAGTTTTAGTAAAAAATTTAAATTAAATTATCACATGGCAACTACTTCTATGATGCATATTATGTTCTATTTGAGGCTTCTCAGCCCCTTGTCCCCATCCACTTACTTTCAATCAGCGTGAACAACTTTCAAAATGTTTTATTTTGTGTTTCACAGAAGAAAGTAGGTCATATTGGGTATGTAAACAACACATTTAAATTTTGGGTGAATGATCCTTTTAACTATTAAAAGTGTTATAATTTAAAAATATGTGGATATGATTCTAAAGTCTCAAAATTCCATCCCAGGCTCATCCCTGGAAAAATGTGCCTGTCGTGACAGTTCCGCAAAATATTATGTTGCTTCGTGCACGCTCACTTTTAAAGTAAAATGTTCAGAGACTGGCGATAAAAGTGAGTTTATTTTTATCCCAAACAGATACACATGAATCGGGCAATGTTTTATTATGCTGGCAGCTGTGCGTATCACAGCAGTTTGGAAATGAGATTTCAGGTGAGTGGCACTAAAAATGTTAACTAATCGCGTTTGAAAATAACGTTATCAGCTACACTAAATCTAACCGACAGCGTTAACAAATGCAAACATGTGTTAAAAATTTATTTGCTGAAGCAAATCTTTTATTGGGACTCGCATCTACTTACATCTCAAATGTAATGTTGTACCAGGTGAGCTACAGAGCAAGTTTACATCGTCAGAAAATTCATACATATGGAGCTATTATGTTACGAGAACATCAAAAAGTATTAGTTTACAAACCATGCACTATGATAAGTGTTTTGAGTTCATAACATAGTATTGTGCAAGAAAAAAAATTATTAATTGAAATCATAATTTGTGTGAACAGGAATAAAAGTTGTTGGTGTTTTACTGCCTATAGTGTTCAATTCAGCTAGAAACTGCAATGAACTATGTATAGCAACATGTTTAGAGTTAAAAATATATATATATAGATAGAGGAATGTTTTTCCAATGAGCAAGTTACAAAATGTATGATTTCTGATTGATAAAAAAGGAGGCCTAAATTATATTACATAAGGGCTGAATGTGGCCTTTTGTTTATTCTTAATAATATCACCAGTAAATTATTATATATGGGGTAATTAGTGCTTATTAGTCATTATATAGCATTCATTCTACCTCAAAGCTTTGGACTCACTACATCACATGCTATAGAAATCACCTAAACTAAATAATTGGATGTTCATGTCAACACGATGAAATTTCCAGGGGTGTCACAGCAGTGCAAGCAAATTAGCCTGAATTGACAGTGTTTGCATATCTGAACACGCTCGTCTCGTTCCCCCTGTCACCAGTCGATCTATTGATCTGGTCTGGGTGTACACAAGCTGCAATGCGTGAATGGAAAAGGGAAACATTAAGGTCAGCTTGCTATTGCTAATGGCTAACACACTAGCCTACATTGTTAGCATTAAAAAAAGTGTCTTATGGTACCAAGACATGTTCGGCCCTTGGTAAAGTGTTCACACAAGAACAAACAATTAAACTGCTCATCTTCAGCCAATGTGATCAGTAGACATTCACAAGCATAACCCATACAGTTAAACTCTGACTTTGTGCTAATGCTGAGGTCTTTTCTCAGAGCTGACAAAGTGACATTTATGAGCAAACAAAAGACTGAATCAGTTAGTGTGTAAGTACTGAAGAACAGGGTGGGAAGATGTCTCCATCGCTCTTTGCCATTTAAGGGTGGAGAGAGAGAGAAAAAAAATCAAAAATCATCGCACAGCAAAACCTGAGGCTGAATCAGGTGTGACCGAGTACTGACTTGCCATGGATTCTGCAGGCAGGGCAAATGGTGGCCATTTTAATGCACTGGCATCAATACAAAAATATGCCATTTTTTATTTATAAACATTTATTCCATTTCACAAAATAAAAAAAGTTTAAATGTCTTTTTAAAAAGACTAATATATATATATATCTTGTTTGCCTTGATAACTAGACCTATTACTGAGGGAAGTACGGTGCACACATACTTCACCATTGAAATCATCTATAAAAATATTTTTTTGCTTTTTATTACAGCTGGTTGATCTTAAGCAACGCAACCGACCTTCCAGATCCATAACAGGGTAAAGTGCAGGCTGATTCCTCAGACACGAGGAAAAAGGTGTCCAGATTAGCTTTCTGTCTCTTAAAGGGCTGTAACTGCGTAACGGTCCTTCGATTTGAACACCAATTCAGAAGAACGGTCTATTTTTGGATGCCTAGTCTAGAAGTGTCGACTTGCTGTGACTAAGCCAAATATAAAACCAATAATACGGATACAGAATGTCACGAGGAGCGTCTTTTCAAGGATTTTTGCTGAAAGGCATCGTCTTAGTGTCACTAAGTGACATCTCCAGAAAATACTCCGAGCATTTGAGGCCTGCTCTTCACAAACAACCTACATGTAGAATACGGTTTAAACAACTGCATATTGTTCTTATATAGATTTTATTCTAGTTTATATTTAACAACAATTAAAAAAAATAAAATAAAACAAACCATGCCAGTACATTTAATGGCATTTAAAGGTTGTTATAGTATCTTAACAGTAACTTACTGTATCATGGAATAGAAAAAAGGCAATTATTATTATTAAAGTAAAACGATACGCAATTATTATTAATATAATGTAATTATATTCAACTAAATGTATTTTTTCATATATAAAAGACTTAAAACAATGTATAGCTAAACTATCCGAGCATATAACGTGTTACGTCACTTCCTAAATCGGCTATATTCCATTGAAACGTTCAATGACCAGCAAACCTTACAGTCACATATCGAGCAAAAGCTACTGAGATTTCCTCATCAGAGGCGAATGAATTACATAAGGACGTTCTTACCCAACCAAATGAGGAAACACACTTTAGCAGACACGTTGGCATCTATGCAGCAATAAAAAGAACTGACGTGATTGTACTGAATAACTAACTTGTATTTACTCAACATGTCTCTGCTGCGTCGGATTAGATTCTTCTTGAGAGAACTTTAAATACACAGATTACACTCACCGATTTACGCACTCGAGTAGTAAAGGCTTTAGAAGGCTGGAAGTTTGGCCGGTATAATGGAATGAAACTTATGTAATGACCTCCGCCCGGTATCCAGCAAATTCGACGGTGGCCTGTTCTAATATTATGACCGCTCATTTTATCGCGAATATAACGCGCATTCGTACCTCTGAAGAATCCGATTTTTCCGCCCCACCTAAGTGAACTGCCATCGCCTTTCCCCGGAGCTAATATAGCTGTTCTATCTCAAACCAGACAGAAGCAGACTGCGGATGAGATTAACTACGAGGCTGGTTAATGTCTGAAAAGTTGCTCACCTCACCGGTAAAGTGATTCCTCCGTTCTCCCCTCTCACGGTTACCGGCGTCTGCGATCAGCTGGCAAAGGGAGTGACGCGATTAGTAACAGCTGGCCACTGGGTCTGCGACGTCAAGGGTTCGCTATGACGACTGACTTCCGTAGATTTTAAATGACTTCCACTTCAGCCAACGTTAAGCCTCGACTCCCAAGAAAGGGGGCGGGACAGAATGGTTCCAACCAATTAAAATGTTCCCTGCTCAGGGACGATTCGTTTCCAGCCAATCATCTGTACGTGTGAAAGTTTACTGAACAGCCCCCAAAGTTCTTTTCCACCGAAGTTAATTTCAAAAAATATAAAAATGCAAAACATGGCAGGTGTATAGGCCTACACAATAAAACATAATTATAAAAGTATGAAAAAAGCACACATGCTGTCAACAGAAATTACCCTAAAAAAACACACATGCTGTTAGAAACAGATATTACTTAAAAAAAATATATATATATATATGTGTGTGTGTGTGTGTGTGTGTGTGTGTAGGC